GCTGCCTTCCCATCCCGCTAAAACGAAAGTAAACTTGCATTCAAAGTCGCACGCGACCATAACGTTCTGGGACAAGTAACCTTTGCGACATCTGTATTTTCCATGATCTTCATCAGGTATCCAAGCTGGTATGATGGTTCCGTCGATGGCGCCGATGCAATCCTGAGTTAACAATAAAAAATTTTAGTTGTAAATGAAAAAGGTTTTAATATAAAAAATACACAATTTTTTTTTATGCGTTTCACCTTAAAGTATGGATATAAATATCTTCTTTCGTATCCAATCAGGAACACGATTAAAATCTGGTGGACGTATGTACTTGGGAGCCAATTTGCATAGGGCAGTGACCATGATATGTACATGGTTACTAATTGTCTCGGTGGATCGATTAAATGACTCGGCAGCACGTCGATGCCTTTGGTGACCTTTTATCGTATGCAAGCACACTGCAACACTGTCTTGAATGCGGACCTTTTGTTGTCTTTCATCGCCATGGCAACCCGTCTGTTTTATTTCTTGGCAAAGAAATTTGAATACTTTCTTGTTCATACCCATTGCATCGTAGAATCTTCGATCGTGCCCCGATAGGAGTTCATTAATCCAGTCCGCTCCGGTGTACGTCGTTTGCCGATACGGGATCCTTCTCATAGGCGTATTAGATTGAAACGCTGTGTACGCATGCATAAATTGTTGTCGTTGAAACTCAAGCATATTAGTAAATTGTTGTAAACGGGATAAATGAGACGGCTCAGCAACATCGTTAACATCTTCGACCACGTTGTCGTTCAATTGTTCACCGTCCCCATGTTCGACATTGTCATAATCCTGGTTGTCATCCATGTGCGACATCCTACAAATGGAGATTTTGTGAGACCAATTTTTGAAAACAACAATTACTTGTAAATGAAAATGAACAATTACTTATAAAGAAAAACAAGACAACATAAAATACCAAGTTCAAATAACACATAAGTCAAGTAACATGATGAAGAAAAACAGTTCAATTCACACAAATGCATAGAAAATAAAACCAAATTAAGTTCTCATAATTTCAAAGTAGCAGGCAAGCCATAGTGTTCAAGTGAAATAGTTTTAAAATGCAGGCCAAACAACATCCGCCCTATTTGCCATCATCATCCATCCACATTTGTAGAAGTGCTTCGAGTTCCAGTCCAAGGAACGTGTACAGGCTCCAAGGGTCACGAAACCTCTTCCAAGCTAACTTTCGAACCTCCATGGGGACATTAGGCAAGGATACCAGTGCTTTCAAAGCTTGTTGAAGGCTCTCTTGATCCTTTTCTGGATTCGGGCGCGCATTATGCTGGATTATGCGACTTGCTTCAGTAATAGAATTCATGGCTGTGTCAAAGGTGAAATTGGTCCCTCTACGGCGCCGAATGGTCCGATCACTGTCCGGGGTATTCATTTCCTCATCATTCGACTCATTATGAAACAAATAATTCGAACAGGTCGCCAAGTTTGTTCTCCGAAGCCAGCCATTTCTATCGTGTGTTTGTGTAGATGCCCTTGCACCGCGCCCAGTTGCAGTTGTTCCATTGAAAATTGTGGTCAGCTCACCGTAGTGCACGCACACCCTTTTGTTCATGTCATTGTCCTGTGGATGACCCTATTGTTCGAAAAGAGTGGACACATAATAAGCGAATGTTTATTACAGGGAAATCCAAACCAAATATGCTACAACAACACCTACAGTAACTAAGACCAATAAATTGATACTAATAATAGACACATAACTATAAAAGTAATTTCATAAATCAACCAAGTTGCAGTCATGTAAAAGCTTCACAACATATTTAAAACCAAAAGGATTTTCATTGTAATTAAACAAACATGGGGGTACATACTAAGAACAATTTCTGTGTATGAACACCCATTTTTTAAGTTCAACCCATCGTAATGTACACATACTAAGACCATAAAAAGTTGGGAATAAATAGAAATAGTGCACTAACCGTGATCCACCGGGCCCAAACTTCGTCACCGCCTGTAATCTTCCCACTGTTAATATCCCAACCGAATCCCGTATCTTTGTTAAGCAGTTTGAAAAATCGATCATGCTTACTCGTGATTTGTGTTATCTCGTAATAATAGTCAGGACCACAAATATCATTCAGTTTTTTTTGGATCTCCATCCAATTGGCTTGTTTGAACTTCTGCCCGATGCACTTTCCCAGGATAACTTGGTCCAACATCAACGATATGAAGTGAGCCTCATTCTCTGGAGGCCACTTTGCTTCTCCTTGTTTGTGTTGCGAAGGGCCAACGTCATTGGATGTGGACATCTACAATTTTTTCACGAAAAACAGCTCCAAGATTGTATTGTTCACATGGAAACATACAGTGTAACATGATAACAACCCAAATATAAATCGAAAAAATAGGCCAGCATACAAAAAAAATTCAGCAAAACACCACACAAGAATTGAAATGAGGCATATCATAAGAGATCCACTTACAACCAGAATAATAATCGCATTTCGCTGCCGGTCAAAACTCAACTTCATGAACACAACACAACCAGGCACAGTTCAACCCAAAAGAAAATAGAAAAAATAACCAGATCCACTTAAAATAATATAACATATCATAAGAGATGGCATGCGAAACACAAAATATCGGTTCCCAAATTGTACAATATGTAATCCCTAATTTATAATTATCGGGTTCCAAAATAAACAAAATCGCATATACAAAATATTTTTTCGACAAATTCAAGGAAAAATTCACCGAATCGTATATCAGGAAAAAAAGCTGCAGGAAAAACACATTTAAATCGAACAAACCTTTCTTCTCCGTTTTTTTCTTTTCTCGGGCGAGTTCACCGACACGCTGCCGGTGCTTTCGCTGTGCGGATCCCGTTCCGACAATCGAAAAGATGGAAGCGAAGTGGGCACAGAAGGATTTGCACCGGAGCTCATGATTTTTTCAGACGGAGATGAAGGAGATTTTATTGAGGAAGGGGTCGTCGTTTAATTCAAGGAGGAGAAGGTAGTAGGTTGCTTTTGTCAGAGATACATATCAATATCAATTTATATCAATTTAATATTACAGTTGAAAACAATTAATGGGGGACAAGCCAGCTTTGAAGTGGGGCCATGTTTCTGAATGCCAAATTGAAATATTTTGTAGACAATCGCAGTTTTTACCAAAATAATCCAAAATGTTCAATTATCTCAGTTTTTACCAATTAATTGGTAAACAAGCGTCCCCTAAAGATGCGTGTAAATAATCATTAGCCTAGCTGTTGTTAACTACCAACGTCTCGCTGAATTTGTACCAAGTCAATCAATATTATGTAATCTGGTGCCTGTGAATTTTGAAAAGAATATCAGGCCATAATGTCTATGTTGCATATTCATTTAATATTGATTTTTATATTTCACGTGAAATAAGAAAATGATAGCACTTTTATAGTTTTATACCGAATATAACCACCTGCCGGAACTCTATCCTCCATTGATTGAGGAGAAAATTGTTAATTTGGTCCTATAACTTCGACTGTTTTCTACATTTGGTCTTGCACACGCTATTTATGATTCTTTTTAATTTTCCGTTGCAAATATGGTCCCACTCCGTCAAGACTTAACAGTATCGTGCATGCGTTGTTGACTTGTTAGTCAACGTTCACATCTAGAAAGGAAAGAAATCAAATTTTTGGACTAAAAGTGTATTTTTCAAATGAGTGGACCACATTGCAATTTTTCAAAAAGAAAAAAAAAAAGGAAAGAAAAACGAGTTCTTCAAGTTTGTCTAAAAGAGAAGCCATATTATTTAGATGTTTAATTTAAAAGTGGAAAATTGACTTTTTGTTTAAATAGTTTGACTTACTTTAAAATTTTTTTTGAATGAAAATTAAAAGTATATTTTTATCTTATTGTGCACTTTAATTTTCAACATTGTATGCCAAAATATTGCCCTCTTTTTGGAACATTTGATTCTTCTTATATTTTCTTGAAACATATACATATCAATAAATTTGTTTAAAAATGCAAATATGTTTAAAAGGATACGTGATAAAATATATCCAAAAAGGACGTGTTGGAGAAAACGAAAACCGAGGCTGCTAAGCCTCTCGTCTACGGGCCGAACTAGCCACCTTACTGCTTCAAGATTTATTAGTTCGGGAGCTCGAGGAAAGCAAAAGTTCGAGAGTTTATCAGTTGGACCTGGTTCATATCAAATTGACCCATCAAATTGCATGATTCGACTCCATGTTTCAAGCTCGGTTTTGTGCAACCATAATTGATTGATACCTACCCAATTTATGTACTTCGAACATTTTTCATCATTATTTAAGGGAATTGTTTCACCCTCCCAAAATATGCTATTTTTTAGAGTTTGCCATACATTTTTTTTTTAAAAAAATTCGTCTCCCAATGTAATCGAAACTGACAATTTGCTCCTCGATTAAAAACCCTAATATGGCACAAAAGAGTTTTTAACTCAATTAATGATAAATTTTAAATTAATCTTTAAAATTGATTTAGAGTTTTTAAAGCCCATGGCGAGACGAACAAGATGAGATATGATTTGTCGAATTCGAAAAATTGATACCTCTATAATCGGTCCACGAAGATAGTAGGAGCACATGTGTATAGAAAAAAATCAATTTAACTTTTCTGATAATCAAAATATCCGATTTTCGATTGGGAGGTGTCAAGTTAGTAGTACCAATTTTCTATCGCGTAAATCTTATGAAAATCCAACGGTCGGATTTTGATCAGTATTTAGAAAATTACTAATCAATAGTTAGCTCTTTTTAGGCTATATACCAAAATCCGACCGCTTAATTTTCATAAGATCTACTTCGATAGAAAACTCGTCCAATTTTCATAAGATCTACTTCGATAGAAAACTCGTCCTCAAGCTTTCAAATGACACTTCCCAATCGAAAATCGGTTATCTTGATTATCAGAAAACTTGAATTGAAATTTTTTCTATACACACGTGCTCATGCTATCTTCGTGGATCGATTTTAGAGTTATCAATTTTTAGAAATCGACAAATTATACCTTATTTTGTTTACCATGAATTCTAAATCAATTTTAAAGATTAATTTAATATTTATTATTAATTTTAAAAACTCTTTTGTGCCATATTTAAATTTTTATTCGAGAAAACAAATTGTCAGTTGTAAATTGTTCATATTACGACAAATTCTAAAAAATGACATAAGGTTAAATTAATTTTTTCCCCTTCGTTTAATCTATCAATATCATCAATAAATATGCAAGCCTCGTTCCCCCTGCTCTCTCTCACTCGTGACCATTAATGTTCAATTTCATATTTATCCATAATTTGTCATTCTCAAAAACTTTTCTGTTAACTTATTTTATAAAGATTCTTCCGGAATCCGAAGTGCAATCATTGAAGCTCGGCGCCCCATTTCTGCAATTTGAAGCTCCTAATCAAGTCTAAATGGGGAAAAACCAAGCCTACAAGGCGATGCAGAGAGCGCGGCTCGGCTCGAGCTCCGCCGCGCCGGAAGAGGTTGAGGATGGCATGGTTCGTAATTCGCACCCTTTTATGCATTTTTATCGATTAGGTATATTCCTAAAACGTGTTTGATTTGAGTTTATGGCATTGCTTTACAGAGTTAGGAGGATTACGATGTGTAGATCTTACTTTAGATGTGTTGTCGTAGATGTTGCGAATCAGTTAATCGCCATGGCGGAAATTGGTTTCCGAATACTGGTCCATACTTTTCTTATCGTGGTTGAACTTAGCACTTACTTGATTATCCTTGGAGTGATTTTTATGGTAAAAGATTAGGTCTAATGTAGTATCTAAAGTTATTTAGATGTTTATCATGTTTGGGTTCGTATAGTTATGGACCGACTTATCACAGATATCAACGATTAGGTCCTGTGGTTCTATCTGTAGACTTAATGGGATGCTGGGCCGTTGAAATGAACTAATATTTGGAGTATATAATTCACGATTGCTAACTTGCGCTTAGGTACTGGCAGTGGTTTTGTATCCCTGGAGATTGGCACTAAGAATAGGCCTATAATCCGAGCATTTTCAATGATTAGATTCACACCCGCAATGTGATAATTGAACCATAATGGAAGCTTTGTTCCATATTGGTACTTAGCCATTTGTGTTTTGGCTATAAATGTCCTCTGGATAGTGTGACTTATTCTGGGTTGAAATTTCAGCCAATTTGATATCTGTTGTTATTCAAGAAGGCTCTAGCTATCACTTTTCGTGAAACTACAAGTCTGCAAGGTAATTGTTAGAAGGCTGCTATATGTGTGCATAACTGAAAAATCAGGCTCTACACATTCTTCCATTTTCATACATTCGGGATGTATACGTGATACCTTCTCAACAGTGCTTATCTAATGTTGATTGTAGTTCTAGTACTAGAATTGGAATTTATGAATGAAATTGTTTTCTTTCCAACTAAAAAACTCATTTTCAAATCCAAAATGCAGTAATTGTCTTATCAAACATCGTTCTTCTCCAACCATTATATCAATTCTCAAATTCAAAAGATTATTATCACACCATAAGTTTCTTTAAAATTTTATGCGTTTTCAGTATCGTCAATATATTTACCAACCTTACAAATGAGACCTTGTTACTATCGAGTATCTACACTTTCTCAGCTTTCACTTGACCAATACTAATGCTACTTTTATGTTACTAACTTTTAAATTGGGCCCCATTTATTTTCCATATTCATATTTTTTTTTATCGTTCAATTTTATTTTGATTTTGATAGTACTAGTGTCTTTTTTCAACTTTGGTGCCCGTCACAGAATTTTTTCTATATGTACATTTTTTGATAATATATCAATGATCGTCATAGTAAGGCCTCATATGTTTGGAATGCTGGGATGGAACCAAATAAATATTAGGTGGGTGGATTGCACTGTATAGATAAAATTGAACTTGTATTTGTTATTCGTAATTGGTGGTTCGAATAGGATAATACTATGCTCTAAGCAGTGTTTGATACCCTTGGTAGCTCTACTGATATATGTTTAGACTAATTTTCCCTCGTCCCCTGCATCTTGATTCTCCCCTTTCCTGTACTGTAAAGCTTTCTTCCCAAGCAACTTAATGACAGAAATGTGAACTTTCTAATTTTACTGATTTTTATTCAATCATTAGCTTCTCTCTTTTTTTCTCCGCATTTCTTTGTCCCTTAATTCCCTTGTTGCGTCTGAAGTCTGAACCCCACAAATGACACGCATAAGCCTCAATTCCAATCAAACCATTCCAATTAGAAGAAGATGGATCAATTTATCTTGAGGCGCCACTATCAGATCCATTTTCAGGTGGGAAGGTGCTGCTTTCAGATCCATTTTTGCCACCAAGGTTGTGAGCAGGCGGCCAGTATCAGTTGTAGATGTGAAAAGGTGGCCACCTAAAGTTGGTACTCTGCGTTTCTTTTCGTAGCCTACTTACAGTGCCTCAAACCATGGTGGAGGTTCCCTGAATTTTTTAATGTTGAAAAAAGTGAAAGACTAGGGATATTTTTGTAAATTAATTTAGAAATCCACCCTTTATATAAAAAAATCATCCCAAATTGATCGGGAATAGTTACAATCATTGGTAGGATTTTGTCTCATTCTGTCCCAGGCCGAAGGCAATACAGTAAGCCGCAATCAGTGAAAACAAACACGTGATTAAGACTTTATAAGTGTTCATATCCAATCCTGCTACAAAACAAATGAGGCCTAGAAATTGTATTAAAATAATGACATGCAAATAGTAAAAGTTAATTTTTGTAACAAAAGAAGGGCAAAACAATACATAACTATTACATTCAAATAAATTATATAGATAAACTAATATATAATAACAACTACTATAGTTCTATAAAACCATAAAGGGCGAAGTTGCAATTAAGAAAGAAAATGCGTTCATAAATAGTGGCAATGGAATTTTGCATTAAAGGGAGAAATAAAGTGTGGAGAAGCTCTCTTTGTGATTCAGTTTTGGTGTAGACTGGAGCAAAAATATCCCATTTCTTCAGTTATCGCTTAGTTATGCATGTGGGTTAGACTTTGTTCTAAACTACAGTTAGAGTCACTTTTCATCTAAATCTACCCTCAGCAGAAAAGGGAGTCGGGACCAGTCTGATCAATGGCGCCGTGTACAGAATATGTGATCCTTGTTTTAGTGATCATTGCTTCATCTCTGTATAGATAATTTGGGGACTACTGATGTTCCGAAAGTGAAACTTGTTGAGTAAGAGGTCGTCATGTGAATGATATATTCGTTAAATAGCAGTGGGACTTCGGCACTTTAAGTTTGGGAATGATCTTTGATCATGTTTAATTAAAGAAGAAGATGCACATTGTTAGTTTTTAGGAAGTATATTTTTTGTTTTTTGCAAATCGAGTCGAAAGTCATACTGCATAGAGAGAATTTTAATAATAATATACTTCCAATATTATTTTAGGAAATTGTGAAAGCGTGGGTAAATTCAAAGAATCTTGCATGTTTTATAATGACTCGACAGCTGGCCAAGATATTAGTTTCTGGGAAATCGAATCATTCTTTTTGTTATGAAGTCACACAGTATTGGTTATGCTTATTATTTATTTTTCTAGTTTTAAGCATTAAAAGGATTTTTTTGAATTATTTAGTTATGTATGCTAACCAATCATTTCATCATGTTTTAGAGGGAGTGATTCTTATAATCAACTGATGTAAATCAGATGTGTAGTCTGTTATTCATATGTATTTGAAGGTCAATATTGAACATTCAGTTAGAACAATAGTGTATTCATTCGGTATCTGTGTTGTTGCACTTACTTGGTATTAACAGGATGCCATACACTGAGGTTTCAAATCTTGGGTTTAAGAAGAATTTCGACCGATGCACTATAGACAATCTAAACCAACTGTAAACTGAAAAAATAATGCTGCTCTCATTTGTCGCTTCCTACTCCTGGAGCTATTACCGTACCTCTCCTTGTATTTTATGCACCTGTATGTTTGGCCTGTGCTTCTTCTGATGAGGACAGTGGCAGGTGGATGGTTCATTTCATTCTCCAGAATGGCATGCTGCTCGCTTGGCAAGTCTCAAAACTTCTCATACAGTCACGTGGGAGGAGTTCAAGAAGAAGCAAAAGGTGATTTATGAGACTAAGTTCTTTTCAGCTTGCATTTCTTTTAGCAGTTTATCATTTTTTACTTCTCCTTGGTATTTGGTTGTTCTTAGCTGATGTATTTTTCAAGATCAATTTGATTATTTCTCCTAATACATTTCTGAGAAGAACAATATATAACAGTTTCTTCTTTGAAATTTGCGGTTTAGGAACATATGTCATTGTTAGAGCTACTAGAAGTTACTATCAGAAAGTAACTGCATGTCCTTTTCAGTTAATTACCATCTCATCTTGCATCTATATTCTATAACAATATAACTTTTTTTTTTTTCCAAAATATCAATATCATGGTACAGGAGGTGGTCAAGTCACCAAGTTACATTTGCAACTGTAGTGATTGTGTATTTTTGCACGGACAACAGATTGACTGCACAAATAAATTTCTCTGGGTCAATTGCATATCTTTTAATGAAAAAACTCTTGTGTTTTGCAAAAATTACCTTTGAGATTTGGTGATTCTACCAAAAAGTGCAACTCTTCAATGATCTTTTGAAAAAACAAAATCTCTGTTTTAGTTTTGTGTCCTACTCTGTAATTTTAGTTCCTGTAATAAGAATTGACATCATTTGAGTTATCTCTACAGCTTTACTTGTGCATTATGTTAAGACAAGAATGTATTTCAGCTTATGTGTAAGTTGTAATATTCCAGAGGTGTAGGATGTAAATTTTTGTAATTCCTCTCTATAAAGACACACCAGAAGGAAGAACAAGAATAAATAAAAGAACTCCCCTCTCCACCTCCTCCTCTTCTCTTCATTATAGCTCTCCTTTAGTTCTGGAGGCATCTGGAGAGCTTCTTCTTGCGGGATGGGTTGAACTATTGGAGTCGAGAGATTATTTTAGGTTGTTGGCAGTGGTCGGATGTCAGTGGCAGTGGAGTTGTTTGCTGGTGTTTCTTTTAGGAATTTTGTTTTGTTATTTATATTTGTTTTTCTTGTTGCGTTTGAATAGCGTTAACTTGTAGAAATTTTATTGGTAGCACCATTCACTTGGGACCAATAGGTCTCGAGTTCGAGTCACCCAAGGGGGTTGGTGGGGAACCACCTTTGATCTTCTTTCTAGAAAAAAATAAAATAAAATAACTGGTAGAAATTTTAATTTATAGTATTATTACTGTGTTGTAGTATGTGGTTCTTGCTCGTGCCTTGTTGTCTTCGTTGTGTTTTGAGTACCTGGGATCCTTGTGATTCCTGGTGGCTTGGGTGTCCATTGGGGAGTGCTTGTGTCCCCCAGTAGGGGTGTGTATGGTGTCTTTGTGTATGCCATTGTTGGGGTGATGTGCAACTTTTTTTTAATTGCATATTAATGCGAAAGTAGTTATATTGTCAGTGGGGAATACTGTAATCTGCTTGGAGTTTT